ATGTTTCTTTGAAATGTCTTTTGTCTTTAATTTCTGCTAGGAAGCCTGTACACGGCCCGTGACGGCCGCCCAGAGGCATATATGCATGGCATGGGGGTCCGATGCAAAGTATAACTTTGGGTACCTCGATCGTGACTTCCATTACATTGGAGGTTCGGGCTATTCTCGCCTGAGAAAATTTTGAAATTTAGGAATGGCAAAATCCTGCATTCTGAAAGAATAGTTGGGCCCAGGGCATATTGCCCTTTTTGTGGTCGGGGACTGGGCGCCAGAGGGGCAAAAGTTGTTCAGTGAATAAACCAGGCTAAAATATATGTTCTTGAACTGTCTGTGCCAGTGTAGGTAGTGCCAATAATATGAACAAGCTTTCGTTTGGTAGGAATGCAACTATAAAACTGCCCTCAAAAATATAAGGAGAATTTCGACGTTTCAAGAGAATTTCGACGTTTCGATGAGCCAGTGCGGATATGGTACATATAGTCATAGAATTGTCTGCTGTGCGCCTATATGCATAGATATAGGTAAATGCATGTATAGTACCTACAAGTGTTCATATTTTCCCTGTTATGAGGTCCTACTGTAATATTTGGTTACAAGCTAATGTTATCTTATTTTATCTGTGTAGCTAACAAAGAGACTGCATTTGTCCATGCGATAACTTCAGCTGGTGTTGTGTATGAGGTGACACGAGCTTGCAGCAGGGGTGAGCTGAGAGAATGCAATTGTGATAAAAAATCTAAAGAGATAAGTGAAAAGGATGGCTTTAAATGGGGAGGATGTAGTGAGAATGTTGGTTATGGAATACAGTTTGCCCGCACGTTTATTGACTCCCGTGAAAGCCAGCAAGATCCACCCGCGCTTATGAACCTCCACAACAACAAAGTAGGACGAAGGGTAAGTCACTGTGTTCACAACATAGTTAATGCAGTGTACAACAATAATAATACTCTATCCTGCTATGATAGCTTCAAAGGTTTCTGAGAACAGTTGATTTAACCCTTATTTATTGAATGAAATTTCCATAAATATACGCTTGTTCGACCGACCTTGTTTGCCCTTGGATTGGCATCTAAATTGAATACGTACTTCCAAACAGGTTATAATTTTAAAATAATGGCAAACGGGAAACTAGTATATCGTGTATTTCAATTGAAATTGTGTGCGATATATTCATGGCTTTAAAGTATATAATTGCCCACTTAACTAAGTCAAGTAACAAGTACTCAATCATTAACGAAAATTGGTGTTTTTCTCTCATGCAAGTGCTCTTTATATATACACATACACACTTTATAATGCATTCCTCCAAGGGGGCACTAGATCAAGTGTACTTGTTCCGACTATGATTATATGTATTGCCACTTTCGACTGTTTGAACACTCAATTTCCATTGTGCACTCTTCTCATTTCATAAGAATCTCGTGAAATTAGCAAAATGTTGAGAACATGCAGCTGTCAAGAATACATCAAAAACGTCTTTTTTAAAGATCATCTTGTTGCTGTGGAAAATATTTAAATGGATTATCATTTCCATCTACTCTTGAACTATTATTGAATCAAGATGCCAACAAAATCTCGAAATTATAAAGGCATGCACGTTATTACCAATTTCATATTATTCTGCATGAATTTCTGGGTTTTTATATCCCGCAGCTGAAAGTAAAATGGACCCCAAATTTTTAAAAAAATACAGTGAAATGTGCATAGTGATAGACCAGTGACAGGTTTTTCATTTCTCTAAGGAGTAAAGGAGCTTCTGAAATAGAAGTATATATGAATGCTATAGACTGTAGTGAGTTGTAACGCCATGTAATTTACAATGTGTGTCCATGTTTCGCGCACCAATATAGTAAACGTTATGTAATGGATATTATAGTGTACTGCAAAGTCAACTGGATACCTCCATATACACATGCACCCTAACCTTAGACCTAACCCCTAACCCTAATCTATGTTGGTGCGCGAAACACGGAACGATAACCAGAATGTGCGAAAGAATACTTTAAACCTACTAGTTTGACAGTATATAGAATACGAATATTCAGTCTGAGCATGAAATTTCTCCCAAATTTAAATACAGGTAATGCTGCATGATTTTTAAACCATTCCTAACCCTATGCTTATGGTTTAATATTAATGCAATGTTGAGTGAGATTTCAAACTGAGTCATCTAATGATGCAGTTGCGAAGTTTTTAGTGTAAAAGAATGAATGCTATTCTAAAACTTGGATCAATGTTGTGACGTCAGCACGTGGGGTAGTTAAATATTTTGGACAACTCGTCTGATCCAATATACACGTAAGCTTAGCTTCATTAAATAAATGACTGTGCTGCAGGATTATGATTAATTTGTTTAAATTCCCAAATTGCATACCACCACCTATGGCTTCATTGTCTACCTACTAAATAGCAACTAGCAAGGTGGCAATTATCGTAGGAGTAACGCGGGGGCAGTTCCCTGGCCTTGATTTCATAATTAGATAATTGTAGATTACCACAATCAGCACGTTATAGTTCTCAGCCCCCAATTGTTCTTTATACTCGTGCTTGCATGCCATCCTCTCTTCCAACGTAACGCTTCCAAGCTCGCCCACCTGGCCTAATTCCATGACCCACATGAATCACATATATTTGGTATAGAATACTGAACAATGGCGTCATATCCTGTTCGGGTTCCTCAGTCATGTTTAGAATCCCCGTTTTCCAATTAGTTAAAATTTTGCAACTAGTTAAAATCTTCTGCTCTGTTTTTACATGGGTGACGAGTTGGTCAAGCTATACAGGGGATGCGGTCATGTGCAGGCTTTTGCACTTATTATGATTGACCACACATCCTTGTCCCACGGCTCATCACGTTTTCATTTACCCAATTTTCATTTACAATAAAATTGCTTCCTTTTGCTTCGATGTAACTGCGAATTTCTTACCCCAAATTTGTGATTTGTGTTTCCAGGCAGTTCGACGCTTGATGGAACTCCAGTGTAAATGTCATGGTGTATCAGGTTCTTGTGCAGTCAAAAGTTGTTGGAAACAAATGATGCCGTTTGAAACCGTTGGAAACTTATTGCGTCAAAAGTACTTATTTGCCATCAAGGTGACTGTCGACCAAGAGGGGAAATCTCTCACTAAAGTTAACAAAATGAAGAAACCCTCAGGTGAAGCAATTGTGTACTTGGAAGAATCCCCCGACTACTGTATGAAAAACAAGGCAACAGGTTCATCTGGCACGGGGGGTCGGGAATGCAATAGAACTGCAAGTGGTGTTGGAAGTTGTGCCGTTCTCTGCTGTGGAAGAGGTTTTGACACAATTGAAATGGACGATGAGAGCAAATGTGATTGCCAATTTCATTGGTGTTGTTATGTCAAGTGTAAGAATTGTCGTTATAAAATAGACAAGAACTTTTGCAAGGCACCTGCAGAGAGTGTGAATTCTGGATTAAGGTCAAGGCAACCACCACGAAAGAAACGTAATGTAAGGAGTTTGGAAATTCACAACCAAGTTCGGAAGAGTGTTGTTATATGATTCTTATATATGACCAACGTCTTCTAAAAAGCTAGAACTCGCAGATATGGTACTTAACAAAAACATTTCAAACTTGTATTTTTGCTTTATTTAGCATATTAAAGTGGAAGTCAAGTCCGTATATATAAACAAACGGCTTGTTTACATTTTGAACTGCTATATTTTTTAAAATATGATGTACTGTCCGAATATTTAACACCATATTGGTTCGCTATGCTTCTAAATGAATATGAAATAGAGTTTATGTTCAGAAAAATTCGAAATTGGCGCAGAACGGACTTGACTTCCACTTTAAACTAATGTATGCGCATGCAATTGCAGCGTTTTCTAAAAAGATCTTAAAAACTACAACTATAGCCTTTACAAGGAACTTTTTAACAATATAAACATTAATGCCACAAATACATATTATTTAATATTTATCGCCTAAAATATTAAAAGTAAATCGACAGCTCGCACGAAAGGTTTCTATAGAATGTTAACAGAATTCTATGTTCAATATGAAAAGGAGTCATTGATTCTGATATTTAGTCACTGTAATCACTTACATAATTTACGCTTACTGCACTATTTATTATATTCTATGATAATTATTATGCAGGATATCGATAAACAAGGATATATGGATTGTAACCAAAAACTTATTTATTTGTAAATATAATTATGTACAAAACTGCGTGGATATACTGGTATATTTTATCTTCTCAGACCATGCATGTTTACACTGCAAACCCATGTAGACATAAGACATGGCTTTGGCCTAATTGGCCTTAACTCTTAAGGCCCATTTCCACTCCAGAGAATTTTCAACGGACAGAAAATTTCCCGAAAATATCATTGTTTAATAAAAGTTGAAAATTTTCAACTTCAAAATTTTTTTCCGACGGAAAATTTGTATCGGCCAATCACATTTTACAAAATTTTCTTTCCGCGGAAAATTCTCCTGAGTGGAAATGGGCCTTTAAGGTGATATTGATTTAATTACCGTACAAGACAATCAGTAGCCTGATTACCAGGCCCTGTTTTCCCTTCCTTAAATTCAGGCGGACGGAAGGAAAAAGATGGCCTGACACAAATCCCTGTCTTGGCGCATGTAAAAAAGTCAAAATCCGGCTTTTCGCCTGATTGGTTTATCAGACTAAAAAACATTTAATCTGTCTTTCGATTGGTTAGTGCTAATTAGATTATACTATTATTAGGGACGGACCATTAGAAAAGTGATGGGGGGGGGGGGGG